CGCCAAAAGAGGGTAGTGGGGGCGAAGTGGGGAGGGCTCTGGACGGAAGCTGGGTGGGCCAGGAAGAAAGAGGCAGCACCCGGGGAGTAGAGGCCCTGCAGAGAGCCCAAGCAGGACAGGGGGCCAAGAAACCCCCGAGCTCCCCGTCCCAGGCTGGCGCCGTGGGCCAGAAACTCACCCCAATGCTGGGTCTCCTGGCGCCGAAAGATCAGGCCTCCGTGCTGGTTGGGCAGCTCGCAGACAAAGCGCCTACCCCGCTTGGTGCAGGCAGGCCACAGAAACAAAGGAACTGCTGCCCGCCCCGGAGCCCCGGGTACTCGGACCCAGCGCCCAGATAGGCTGCGCTGGGCGATGCCACGCGCCAAAAGAGGGTAGTGGGGGCGAAGTGGGGAGGGCTCTGGGCGGAAGCTGGGTGGGCCAGGAAGAAAGAGGCAGCACCCGGGGAGTAGAGGCCCTGCAGAGAGCCCAAGCAGGACAGGGGGCCAAGAAACCCCCGAGCTCCCCGTCCCAGGCTGGCGCCGTGGGCCAGAAACTCACCCCAAGGCTGGGTCTCCTGGCGCCGAAAGATCAGGCCTTGTTATGGTACTTCTGCCCGACTAACCTTACTCTAAATTTCTCTAGAATTGTTAACATGGGTGAACAATATGTTGTAGCAGCTATTTTCTTATTTATTTTCTGCCCCAAACATAAGAGAAACCCATTTCTTTATCTTTTTAAAGATTTATTTTAATTAATCAATTAAATTGTGTGTGTGTGTGTGAGAGAGAGAGAGAGAGAGAGAGAGAGAGAGAGAGAGAGAGACTGTGTGTGCGCTATGTGTATGAGAATTCAGAGGTCTGTGGAGGCCAGCTAAAGGTTTCCTATCCTCTGGAGCTGGAGTTACAGGAGGTTGTGAGCCTTTGGCATGGGTGCTGGAAACCAATTCCAGGTCCTCTGCAAGCACAGTAAGCACTCTTACCAGCTGAGCCATCTCTCTAAGCCCTGAGTCATTTCTTTAAGAAATACTGATTTCTTTCTGGGAGAAATGTTATTTCATGGTCATAACCTGGGTACTAGGGATATCCTTCCTATAATCAGTGGTTCTTCACTTTCCTAATGCTGCAAACTTTTAACACACATCACGTGGAGACCGCCACCCATAAAATTATTTTGTTGCTACTTTATAACTGTCATTTTCCTACTGTTACAAATCATAGTGTAAGTATCTGACATCCAGGATAACTGTGTGATATGTGACTCCCCACCCCCCCCACCCCCAACCCTACCCCCCCGCCGCCAAGCAGGCTTGCAACCTGCTAAGGAATGCTGCTCTATACTGGGTCACTGTTTCTAGGCCTTTCCTAAAATATTAGGAAATATACTTCTTAAAGATAAAATTCTTCATGATTTTATTAATCTTGTTTCGGTTACATGTGAAAAAAATCCTAATTTCCAAACATACAGGGTGGAACTAAAAATAGAACTGAATAGTTCACAAATGCCCATTTAAGCCTGTATTGAACAAGGATCTCAGAATAGCATGAGATGCCTTTACATTTTCTTGTTTGTTTCCCTGTACGCTTCCCATTTCCCCCGAGATGCCTTTTTAGATTCTCCTGGTCTCCTGCAGGAATCTTCACCTCTCTTTAAAATTTATTGTCGCTAAATTTCACGTCTTTTCATTCCTTTTGTTTTTCCTCCTGTTTCTTCATGCAGCTCTCCCTCTGTGTCACCGACTCCCTGTTCTCCACCTGAGTCTTCACAGAGAATTTGTTTATCATCTTCATTTCTTCCCGGAGGACGTTTGTATGTGATTGTTAGGTTTCCTAATTCTAATTCAAGACAAGCAAGCAAACAAACAAAACCTAGACAAAAATGAACTACAGAGAGCGTTGATGTCAAATCTTACAAACATTATGACAAAAAGGGGAAATGGAGAACACCCTACAAAGAACCTTCCTTAGGAAGGGTGCCCCACAAAATCAGACCAATTAAAATTGAATAAAATAAATAAAAATTTAGCTATGCTGCTGTAGATCCCACTAAAAGATAAGGATTCACCACATAATGTTTTCTGTTATTTATTTTTTTTGTTCATTTAATTTTTTATTGTTTGAAAATAGTTTTGCTCATTGTTTAGTTTTTTTATTGTTTAAAAATCTGTTTCAAGACAGCTTCGGAATAGCTCTTCTAATTTTAAAGAACTTTCATTTCTATTGTTCTCATGTAAGATTTAAAAGCATAACTGCTGGGACAGACATGGTGGTACAAGTAAGCGATACTAGACTTGAGAGACAGAAGCAGGAGGCCAACCTTCAGGCGAGACCCGTCTAGTGGGGACACTCTGTCTTAAATGCCAAAATTTAAACAAAAGGAGGAAAGGACAGAGAAAGGGAAGAAGGGAGGAAGAAAGGGAAAAGGCAGATAGCTCAGTGTAGCCATTTGTTTCTCCAAGTCCTTAGTTGATTTATTTCCTTGCTTTACTAATTAGACTGTCCAACATTTTGACATTGGGACAGGGTATTACCGTCTTTGAAGTTCACCTTATAGAACATTCTTAGCTATCCATACCACATGTGGCTGTGGGCTGCAAGTTGCAATGCTGCCTGGACATCTTTTTATTTCTCCTGGCTCACTTACAGTTTAAGTCTCCTTCCAAAAGTTTTTCTACCGAGTTGGGGTTTGTCTTCAGAAAGAGCCCTGCCAGAGTTTGCGAGGTCAGGACTGCTCTGTCCAGCCCTACCTTTCCCTAAAGTGGTCTCGTGCACATTCCTCAGTCTGTCTGCTGTGTTTTCCTGTATCGCTACTTCAGGTTCTTTTCCTTACCCTGTCAGCCATTTCCTTTGCTTCCCCCCCCCACCTCCCTCTCTCACTCCTTCCTTTCCTCCCTCCTTTTTTCTCTCCCTCCTAGACTCTGATACTGCTAAGATCTTGCTATCAATAGTTTTTTTTTTCTTGTTTGTAGTTACGCTTTGGAGATGTCATAGAGTGTGTTGTTGTGAGGATTCTTTTTTTTTTTTTTTAAGGAAACTTTTCTGGTGATATGTGAGGATATAGAAATAGTGAAAAACTACACTGTCACTATTGCTATTTTAGCAGAATGCCTCACAGTGATTTGGTTTTAACTTAATAAGCAAGTTCTTGAGCAGACTTAGGCTGTGTTTTATGTTGGGAAGAGAGAGGAATTGACCAATTCCGCTGCTCCTGGATGAGAACCTAGAGAAATCCTGGCTATCTTGGCTGATGATTCCTTCTGTGACGTGCTTATTATTTTATTTTTAATTTTGCTTTGTTGTTATCTGCTTTTAGAGTTTGAATTTATAGTTTGGGAACACAATACCTGCTTTGCAGCCGAGGCTATCTTGCCGTTTCTGAGTGTGTTGGGATTATGCCATGTTCCTTGAAGCCAGGCTTTGATATCTTAGAAAGAAAGAAAGGAACTTTCTGTTACCTGTAGTGTACGCCTGTGTTCTCTCTGGCTTTGTTTTCTTATGATGCTTGTTTTATTTACAGTCGCGAACTGCAGTGTGCGCTTTTTATCAGCAAGCCTCACATCAAGTCCTTTGTACTGATACTGCAAACAGGGACCGTCTGGTCTTCCCTGAAGATTTTGTTTCCTTTAGAATCTTGTCTTTCTTTGAACAGACGTAAGAAGAAAGGAAAGGTTCTTTTTTAAAATCATCTTTTCTGCCTGAAGTGGCACCTCAACTTTAAGTCATGTAAATATACCTTGTAGGTGATAGTGATTAAAATGTACAAAATTAAAAATAAGGCGACCTTTGAGTTGTGGTATCATAGGTCAGATTGGCTTGTAATTTTGTCTTGTGCTACCATTATAAAACTTCAGGATTGCAGGTGAAAGCTTCAGCCAGGACAGACATTCATCAACAAGGGAATGCATATCCACCGAGATCAGATGTGCTGGGTTTGCTGTGAAATGCTGAGCAGAGCGGATTCTCTCTACACATTGAGAACAGCAGTGGGGACAATTTGTAGCATCTTTTCTAATTGTAGTTTCCATCATTTAAAATTGGGCATAGAGGCAAATGACTGCTGTATAACTACATTTCAGACTGCTTTACTTTGAAAAAAATCTCATTTGAGGGTTCCTAACCTTAAATTTATTATCTTGAAGCTTTCCAAACAGATGCCTCCATTCTGAGTAGGGAGAGGAAATGGCCAGTTCTGTTCATAAAGCAGCCAATTATCGGTTAAACCTTGCTTTCCTCTTAGTAGAATGATTTGGGAATCAGCTTGCCTGTTTCCACACTGAAGTGTGCAAACATTTTGTAGTCTATTGGTGTGTAACGTTAGGTAAAATGCCAACTTATTACCTACTGTGATGTCTATAAATATTTGATACTTCTTAGCTTTGTAAAAATGCTCAAATATTGTCATTTGTTATTTAACTTCAGCAAACTAAAACCAATATTGATAGAATTGTTGGTATCCCATGTTGGCATAAAGAATTTGAGTGACTTTATATGCTTTGGATTTTCCAAGAACAGCTCTAGTGAAGAGCTCTCAGACTCCCTCCGAATGTGGAGGAAGGGTTTGAAAGGTAGCTGCTACTTTGGCTCTACATATGTGTATATATGTGTATGCATGTGAACGTATTTTATTTTTGTTCATTTCAGTGATAATATTAGTTAATGCAGAACAAACTGTGGGTGCTCTGAACATTATCTGTCAAACAGAAAAACCATGAGCAGGCAATTCAAACAAACTTGCAATGAGCATCACATAAAATCCAGGTAGCCTAACCTATCTCCTCTTTGCTTAAATATTTAGTGCAAAGAATACCTGTATGGAGCAATATGCTGTGAGTCTTTAGGCGTCCCGAGGTTACCTGGGTCCATGTAGGATGATAGGTAAATTTTTATACAGCAAATGCACTTGAGACTTGATTTCCCTAGACACAAATTTCCCATATGCAGGATTGGTCTAAACTTTACCGTGTAACTTGTTATGTTTCTTAAATGGACTAATAGTCATTGTAGAAAATTTGTTTATTTTTCCAGGACCTGATCTTCAGGTTTGTGTATCCAAAAACCCAACATGCTGTACCAGGAAGATGGAAGAGAGATACCAGATTGCAGCTCGGCAAGATTTTCAGCAGGTGCTTCAGACATCCAGCTCAACATTAAAGTTGTTAATATCTCGAAATGCAGCTGCTTTTCAAGGTAGATGGATTTGAGTGCTGGGCGAGTGAACAGTTCTAATATGCTATTTACTTGTGATAGCAATATTGGTAAACTTGGCTAGGTTTATTTCTTTGTAATCGTGTCTCATTCTGGGATGAAATAAAGTTTGTTTTTCTAGCCATTATAAATTATGTATGGAGCCTTCCTGAGTAGCTATTAAAGATGAATAAGAGAAACCATTGTGTTGTTGAAAAAAAAAACCTATTGAAATGTATGTCTTTAAAGAGAGAGAGAGCTCTTCCAGTTTTCCATGATAGTCACCCCTCATTTTACCTTAGTGGAAACAGATACTTACCAGATCCTGTGGGCAAAAGAGGTAATAGGAAATCTCACTGATTATTGCCTGGATAATCACAGATTAATTTTTAAGGGTAGGAATTGAAGAAATGTTTATCCTGAGTTTTTTCCTGGCAGCCCCATGTGGTTTTCATCAGAACACAGATTTGATATACTAAGCACATTCAAGACTGATAAATAGTCAAGTCAGAGATATTAATTGATGTTTAAGGGCTGGCTAACCTCAGAACTCATCCCTACATCAAACATGTTGACACATAAAATTAATGAGATATGAAATTATAAGGCACATTGAAAAATATATGGTCATTTTCTCATTTTAGTCTTTTTGTGAAAGTCCTTACTACTGTAATGAAACAGTTTAATTTGTTCTCCTTCACAAGGCTTTTATTATTCCTATGCTTAAAATTAAAAAAAAATTAGCTTACATGACTTTTAAACCTAATTTACAGTTTCTGCTCATCATAGAATATAGGTTCTGTTAGTCTTCTTGTCTGATAAGTATAATAATGTCAGTATATGCGAATAATTTGCATGTTTATATGTATAACTAAATCACAAAGCTGATTTTTTAAATTTTACTTCCTAAATAAAATAAATTTAGTAAATCAAAATAAAAATTTATTTTGAGTTAAAATGAAGCTCATGATGAATTGATTTTTTCCCTTTATAAATTATGAAAAGATTCTAAGGTATTTGCTCAATTATGTTTTTGAAGGTCTAGAATATAGCTTTGTTTCTCTTGTGAAATTTACTTATAGGAAATTGTGAGGAGGAATTCATTGACATGCAATTTACATAAAGATTTGTGACACAAACTGGCAAAATTAGAAAGCCTTGGGAGCCCAGTGGAAATGATAATTCTTATTTCTCGTAATAATGGGAACATTGTGATATAGAAAATGTCTTTTTCAAGTGAACAAGCAAGAAGTAGAAAAGTCAAAGTCAGAGTGTTTCTGGTTGTCAGTCATATACTTGCAAAGGTAAGGGCAACGTTGGGAAGAAATCTTAAAACATAGATTTGAGAATGTCAATGAAAAGGTTTGCGTGGGGAGTATTACCTATGAATGCTCATTTTTTAACCTTAAAGTTCATCCTTTCTGGAACAGGTGGCCAGAGAAGATCATGATGAATGCAGCCTTCTCTTAGTCAGTGGCATGAACTACAGAGAAGGGCATGGTGCCCTTAGTTACTCTCACATAGGGCACTTAATGTTGGATTTTTTTCTTTCAAAGGTACTTTAGCAGAATTTCATTAATAACATATTTCTCAATAAGTCAATAAAGATCAGAAGATTGTAAAATCTGGAATGTATGGGCTATTAAGATGTGTTGAACTACTTAAAAGCTTTGTTGATACTGCTAAGGCTGGGTGATGATCATCCCAGGGGCAAAATGGATATTAAGGTCTTGGGCCATCACTCCCTGCCCGATGTTATTTAGTGTCTATAGTCTTTTGTTATTTTCTGTTTAATAAGTTTCATGTGCTGTTATTAACAGATGAACATTGACTTTTCAAATTAATTATAAACATAGGAGCATAGAGGCATTATGAAAATAATTTGCCATAATCAACTCTGATGAGCTCCCACGGCGTCTGTCAAGCTTTGTTTCAGAATCGTGAAAAGACAATATAGATTTAGAAGGAATTTGCCTACAGGCTTTTGTGGGAAGAAGACTTTCAAGGATCTCAGCCTTAATTAAATACACAGAAGAGTCAACTTGGGGCATAATTTCATCAATGAACCTTAAAAATGTATGTCCAAAATAAGATGAAATATCAAATTTGTTGCATCACAACAAAGCAGGCCACTTTGCCAATAAGTAATTGAAAATGAAATCTTTATTTAAAACAATCCAATGCACTCATTTTTGACAGAAATTTCACAGAGGATCAGTTCACATCTCCTGAAAGTGGATTTGCTAATTCCATCATTAAATGATGAATTTCTTTTCTTTTTTTAAATTTTTAAAGTCATTTTTAAATTTATTTTTTTCCTTTTATAGAAAAAGCTTTTCCTCATTTAATATGTCCTTATTATGACTTGTTTTCCCTCTACTCCTCCCAGTTTCTTCTCACCTTCCCTCTCATCCAGACTCACTCCCTTTTCGTCTCTCCATAGAAAACAGATTTCTAATGTATAATAATAAAATAAAGTAAAATAGGATAAAACAAAAATTAAGACATTGGAATTGGACAAAACCAACACAAAATGAAAGGGAAAAGCCCAAGAAAAGGGCAAAAAACAGAGACCCATTTGTTGGCACACTCAGGAATCCCATAAAAAACACCAACTAGAAGCCAATATATACACAAAGGACCTGTTAGAGTAATATAAAACAGGAGGAGATAGTCTAAGAATCAGTCTCAGTCTGAGAATTCGTGGAGGCAGGATTGCCATTTCAGACTGAGGTAGAGGTAAGAGCCAGTGGCTGGCTGTTTTGCTTTTCTGGCCTTCATCTTGAACCCCAGTATCTGTTTCTGGGTTTTTCTTATTTGTGCTACACTCTACCAGTTTACAGCCCTATGAATGGTGAAGGAAGGCTCCCTTCCCCTCCACCCTCAGCAGCTGTTGCTGTCAGTTGCTTTCTTGAGCTTGGTTGTTCTGATTGGGGTCAGATGTTATCTCAATGTAGTCTTAGTTTTCATTTTCCTAGTTGCTAAAGATGTTAAATACTTTTAAATATATTTTGTGGTCATTCTACTCTTTTTCTTTAGGGAATACACTTGTAACATATGTGGTCAATTTATAAATTGCATCATATGTTTTGTTCTTCTTCGTGTTTTAGTTCTTTGTATATTCTAGCTATGAATGTTCTCTATGTTATTTTTTTGTCCAACTTTTCTGCCTGTTAGAGAAAGTGGAGTGTTGAAATCAGTTGTTAAATTGGAATTAACTTGTGTTTTGAAGTCGAGGAGTACACTTTTTATGAATTGGGGTGTGCCAAACTTTGGTGCATTTAGTTTTAAGATTGTAGTGCCTTCTTAGTTAATTGTTCTTTTGATCATAATGAAGTGTCCTTATTTATCTCTTCTGATTAGTTTTAGTTTGAAGTCTATTTTTGTCAGCTATTAGGATGGTGACGTTCTTGTTCTATTGGCTTGGAATACATTTTTAAAATCATTTTCCTCTAAGTTGGTGTATATTTTGAAGGTACTAGCTTTTCTTATTTGTCAACAAATAATAAATTATTAAAGTCAACAAAAAGATGGATTTCTAAATTTTTTAAATTAATTTTACGTGTCTGGGTATTTTGCCTGGATACATGTAGCACCTGTGTATCTGGTGCCTGTGGAAGCCAGAAAAGGGTGTTGAATTCTCTGGAATTAGCATTGAAGACAGTTGTGTGCGGCCATGTGGATGTTGGGAATGGAAGGCAGGTCCTCTGGAAGAGCAGTCAGCGCTCTTACATGCTGAACCATCTCTCCAGCCCCTGCATTTCAATTCTTTTTTTATATTTTTTACTGATTTTTATTGAGCTCTACATTTTTCTCTGCTCCCCTCCCTGCCTCTCCCTTCCCCCCTTCAGCCCTCCCCAAGGTCCCCATGCTCCCAGTTTACTCAGGAGATCTTGTCTTTTTCTACTTCCCATGTAGATTAGACCTATGTAAGTCTCTCTTAAGGTCCTTATTGTTGTCTAAGTTCTCTGGGGTTGAGGTTTGTAGGCTGGTTTTCTTTGCTTTATGTTTAAAAACCACCTCTAAGTGAGTACATGTGATAATTGTCTTTCTGTATCTGGGTTACCTCACTCTAAATAATGTTTTCTAGCTCCATCCATTTTCTTGCAAAATTCAAGATGTTACTATTTATTTTTTGCTGTGTTCATTTCAATTCTTAATCTGACCAGCTAACCTGTATCTTTTCAGTGAGAAACTGAGGCCAATAATATTTAATAGTATCACTGAAAGGTATACGTTGATTACTGTCATCATCAGTTGTGTTTTATTCTAGTTCATGTTTCAGTATTTACAGTTTCATTTATTTTCTATCTATAGCTTTTTGGCTCTACTATCTCTCCCCTTGGTCCAAAGTATAGTTTCCAGTACTCTCTGTGGGATTGGTTTTATAGGCATGCATTATTTTAGTCTCTTTATATTGTGGGAAGTTTTTATTTTCCCTTCAACTATGCCTGATAGTTTCCCAGGGGGAAGTCATCTCGTTGATGTTTGTGGTACCATAGAGTTTGGAGTACATTGCCCCAGATTTTTCTGCCCTTTAGCATTTCCATCTAAAAATCAGCTGTTACTCTGATGTGTTTTCCTATATGACATGTGATTTTTCTCTGGTTTCTTTCAATACCATCTCTTAATTCTGTGTATTTAGTGCTTTGACTATAATATGTCAGGGAGTTTCCTTTTTGATCTTGTCTGGTGTTCTGTGTGCAGGTGTGTCTTTCCTTATTTTGACAAAGTTCCTCAATGGTCCTGGTGAAGGTCTGGTCTAAGCCATTGGCCAGGGATTCTTTTCCTCCTTTCATGCCTATAATTCATAGATTTCATCTTTTCAGGCTGTCTCAAAGCTCCTGCGTACCCCTTTAGTGTGCTCTCCCATATCTTATTCCTTGTTTAAGTCATCCAGTTCCTCTACTTTATCACTGAGTATTGATTTTCTATCTTCTACTCGATCCATTCTATTGGCATGTCTTTTCCATGTGTTTTCTAATGGAATTACTATTTTCAAT